AATTGGCTTTAATTATGTACTGGCAAGGTACAGAAAAGTAGACCTCTTTCAAAGCTCATCCTTAGGGGTGAGCCTATTATGCCAGCATAATTTGAAGAATAATGGGGGCTTCCTCACATGAGGCATAATGCTGGAATAATTGGGTAGAAATAGGAATAATAGTGGAATAATAGGCGGAGTTGAGGTTAATGGTAACTGCAGGAGAAAGTTTTTGAATTTTTGGTTAGCACCTTTTGGAAGACCTATTTTGAAAACACTACTAGAATGCAAAAAATTGATTGCTTGAGAAAATTATGGAGAATAAATTGAGAATAATAGGATAAAAGGAAAAGAATAATGGGGGAAAATATTGAGAACTTCCAGAAAGAATAATGGGAAAATTTATGAGCTTAATAGGCTCAGGCTTACTCATCCTCCAAATCAACCACGTGCTTACACGTGGCATTAAAAATAGGCGTGGTAAGCTTATTGATTATTATTGGTATTTTTAACCCTCATTATGTCCTCCAGAGCCTTCAGAAGACTAGGAGGTGATTCCTTTACTATTAAACTACCAGCAGCTACTGGAGGAGAGGAAGAGGATGAAGATGAAGAGGAAGATATTTCATTACAGCAAGTATCTTTGCAGCCACAGAAAAAGAATAAATTTAATCCTTTTGATATGGTATGACGTCTCACTGAATTAGTACAGTAGATTGGGTAATGTCTAATGTGTTTAAAATAACAAAATACAAACTATGCTGTTTGAGTTGATTCTGATCACAAATTTTGAGCTTCAAATGTCATGTCCACTATGGCTTGTTTCTGAAATTGGGCATAAAGAGATTGATCACATTTTCAATGCATGCACATTTTTTATACATGTACATATATGTATGTTGGTGCTTTTAGCCATACAGAAAGTTTGAGCCAATTCTTATTTTGAGATGAAAAATTAAAATGAGATTTTTAATGCGTATATCATTTCATTAGTAGTAGTTTCATGTAGTAAATTGATATTATATTATACATGTACTTTATAGTTGAATGATTCTAATGAGAGTCCACATGAAGAGGAGGAGGAGGAGGAGGAGGAGGAGAAAGAAGAACAAACATCACAAGTTGCTGTTACTAGTCAAAGCAGCTCTAGAAAGAAAAAGAAAAAGAAGAAAAGAGCAACAAATAAACAAAACCAGCCCACTCCAACTGTCTCTAATGAAGTAAGTACATACATTTAGATGCATAAAAATATGCTATGCATGAAATCAAAATTATTTATTAATTATTTTCCTTAAGGATGAGGTTGAGGCAGCATTGAGAGAAGTTACTGATATGCTAGGGGGTCTGGAAACTGTTAGCTCATCTCAAGTAGAATCTAATAGTTCCAAGACCCCTTGCAATCAGAGACCATTGCTATGCGTGGACAGAAGGTAAGAAAATAACCATGATAATAAATATAAATATGATTATTTTAGAAATCTAAATGCTGAGAATGAAATGAGGAGAATATTTGGATCAAGAGTTGTGAGAGGAGAACAGACCAGGTACAGTTTAATAAGAATTAATTTTGGTTGCCAGATTTGTTTTTGATTACAAATTTCTAGTTGGCAATTTGATTACTATTTGCATTCTTATAAAATGCATAACATGGTTTGATATACACAAATAACTGTATTTATTTTATTAGTCAGAGAAGGCATCATAGAAGAAAGCATCAGAGACAGACAGTGTGAGTGAGATAGCAAAGGAAAGAGAGAGAGAGAAAGAGAGAGAGAATGAAGGGTTTATGCATGTATGAAGCATAAGATAATGGAAATAATCTTTTTGTAGTTTGGCCACTCCCAAGGACACTTGGCCTCAAATTGAGAGATTGGGTAAATGTTTATGACGTTAATGTGTTGTGTTGTTTTAAACTGTACATCATTCACTAATTAGGACTATCAATGTCCTTGGAAGAAGTAAAAGACAGGTCAGTTTTAGCTGAGGAGAAAGAGAGAGAGAGGGGGAAAGAGAGAGAGAGAGGGAAGGAGGGAGTGAGGATGGGAGGATACATGTATGATAAAATAGAGAGATAGTTATTATTATTTTTCTTCTTTCT